GAGAAGATGAAGGCAGCAGAAGCAGCAGCAGCAGCAGCAGGGCCCCACCAGGGGGCCCCCATGAAGGCCAAGGGGGCCCGCCTGAGCCCCCTCAGTGCCAGAAGCCCCAGTGTGTCTCCGCCGCGGACTCCAGCCTTCAGCAGCAGAAGCAACGCCAGCTGCAGCAGCCCCCGCAGCTGCTGCAGCCCCAGCAGCAAGAGCAGCAGCAGCAAAGTGTGCAACACTCCCCGTAACTCCAGCAGCAGGACCTGCAGCAGTCCACGCAACTACGATGCTAGCAGCAGGGTCTGCAGCAGTCCCCGCGGCAACAACAACAACAGCAACAACAGCAGCAGCAGCAGCAGCAGCAGCAAGAGCTGCAGCAGCCCCCGCAGCGGCAGCGGCAGCAGCAAAAGCTGCTCCAGCCCCCGCAATAACAGCAGCAGCAGCAGGAGCTGCGTCAGCCCCCGCCACAGCAACAGCAACAGCATGAGCTGCAGCAGCCCCCGCCACAGCAACAGTAGCAAGAGCTGCAGCAGTCCCCGCCACAGCAGCAGCACGGTCAACAGCAAACGCTGCACGAGTCCGCAGAACAGCAGCAGCAACAACAAAAGCTGCAGCAGTCCCCACCACGGCAGCAGCACCAGTAGCAACAGCAGCAGCAACAGCAGCAGCAACAGCAGCAGCAACAGCAGCAGCAACAGCAGCAGCAGCAGCAGTAGCGATGGCTTCGAGACGCGGCTGCTGCCTCTTCCCCGCTGCATGCGTGCTGCACCTGACCCTGCCTGTGTTGCTGAAAGAGAGCAGCAGCTGCTGCGCTACATTGCTTCATTGCAAGAAGGAGGCCAGAGCAGCAGCAGCAGCAGCAGCAGCATCAACAAGCAAGAGGGCTGGATAGAGCTTGAGTACCCTGCCGGCCCTGCTGCATCTGCGAGCTCTGCTGCTGCAGCAACAGCAGCGGCAGCAGCAGCGGCAGAAGCAAGCACAGGCGACCCCACAAAGCGTGCCCCCCAGGACGACCCAGACAGCAGCGCTCCGTGTGAGCCCCCGGGGGGCCCCCCGGGGGGCCCCCCCGGGGGGCCCCCCCGGGGG